ATGTAAATTTACATTGACTCAATGTACAAGTAGTAAAACATATTTAATATCTCCGTACGTAGAATCTTAACAAAAAAGAAACACATTCATAGATTTTATGAAAAAACATGATTTGCAACATAACTACTTTGATTAAAGATGTAAGTTACATTGACACGATGTAAAAGTACATTGTTTTAACGTAATTATACGTAAAGTCTAAAATATTTCATTATTTTAGGTTCTGGTGATGATGGTGCTATGGTTGTGGTAATGTTAGAAATTTTACGTGTTATAGCCACTAATCGGGAAACATTTCAACATCCCATCATATTTCTATTCAATGGTGCAGAAGAAAATCCTTTACAAGCCTCCCATGGTTTTATAACTCAACATAAATGGGCCAAAAACTGCAGGTAAATAGAAACCCCCTTTCCCCTTTACTCCTTTTCTACAAAACACAAGTTTCAACAAAGATTTTCTGCCTTATTTTAGAGCCTTAATCAATTTAGATTCAGCGGGCAGTGGTCATCGAGAAATTCTATTTCAATCCGGACCCAATCATCCCTGGCTAATGAAGGTTAGTTTTTATTTTGAACTTTGTCCATAAAATCTGTTGTAGTTTTATCATGAACGTCAAGATTTTTTTTAAAATATTAATTGGCTCATTTCCTATTGGTCAGATAATCAGATATCTTAACTAGTTTAATTGTGTTTTATATTTCGTTATGTTATTCAAGTGCCCATTTAATTATGTATTAATTGATTTTTAATTATTGTGAGTATAAATTATTACCGTTCTCCACTTATCGTGTGTAGGTTGTTAATAACAACAACAAAACATTGTCATAAAATAATCATATAAAGTTGAAAGTATTTGAAACCGTGTCCAGATATAACCAAAAAGAAAAAAAACACGATAAACGCATAATTGCTGTTGAGTATTTATGAATATTTCAAAAACAATTTATCTATATTTAAGGTTATAAAACGATAAGATTAGAACGATATGCATCTATGTTTATTATCTACAGCTATTTTGGTTTTGACAATTTAACTAAAGCTTATTTTTGTTTTGATTTATAATTACAAATATTTTGTTGTTGTTTTGAAAGAAATCTTTTATTTGGGAAAAACAAACAAGCCCATTTTTCTAAAAACTAAAAAAAAATCGGTAGTAATTACGTTTCTTTTTTTATTTTATAGTACTACAACAAACATGCTGTTAAACCCTATGCCACCTCGGTGGGCGAAGAACTTTTTGAGGCTAAAGTTATACCCTCCGATACTGATTTTAGAATATTCCGAGATTATGGTCATGTACCTGGTAAGTAGTTAACTGATGATCAAAATTTTCCTATAACCTTTCGAAACACATATTTGAAACAGAAGTTAAATATAATTAGAAAACTTTCAGACGCAATTACTAGATTGAACATAGAATTTTAAATTTTTTAATTTTTTATTCTACAAGGTTTGGATTTTGCTCATTTCTATAATGGTTATGTGTATCATACGAAATTTGATAAATATGATGTTATACCTCGAGGAACCTTACAAAATACTGGCAATAATATTTTAAGTTTGGCCAAAGCTTTGGCAAATGCTCCCGAAATGGAAGATACTAAGGTAATTTTATAATTTCTGTACCAAGGCATGGAAAATTTATGACTATTCTAAGGAATAGTCTATTGACAAGTCTGTGGACTATTCTATTGGATAATCTATGGAGTATTATATTGACTTGTCTATGGTTAGTCTATAGAATAATCTAAGGGCACGTCTGTTGGCTAGTCTATTGACTAGTCTATGGACAAGTCTATTGACTGGTCTATGGACTAGACTATAAACTAGTCTATGGACTAGTCTATTGACTGGACTATGGACTGGTCTATGGACTAGTCTATTGACTAGACTATAAACTAGTCTATGGACTAGTCTACTGACTAGTCTGTATTATAGTCTATTGATTAGTCTTCAGACTAGTCTATTAATTAGTCTACTGGTTAGTATATTAATTAGTCTATTTATTAGTCTATTAATTAGTCTATTGATTAGGTCTATTGCTTAGGTCTATTGACTGGTCTTTTAACTAGTCTGTGGTCCAGTCTATTGACTAGTCTATTGGCTAGGCTATGGATTATTTATGGACTAGTCTATTGACTAGTCTACACACTAGTCTATTGACTAGTGTATTGGCCAGTCTATGAATTAGCCTATTGACTAGTCTACGGAATAGTGCATGGGCTAGTCTATGGTGTGGTCTGTGGACTAATCTATGGACTAGTCCATGAACTAGTCTATTGACTAGTCTAATATCTACTAGCTTTCTATTGGCTAGCCTATAGACTAGTTTATGGACTAGGCTATTGTTTAGTTTATGGACTAGTCTATTGTTTAGTTTATGGACTAGTCTATTGTCTAGTCTATGGTTTATGGGGTGGTCTATAGACTGGTCTATGGAGTAGTCTATGGACTATTCTATTTGCTAATCTATGGGGTGGTCTATAGACTAGTTTATGGAGTAGTCCTTGGATTAGTGTCTTCACTAGTCCATAGACTGTTCAACTATTCGAAGAACTAGTCAATTAACTAATCTTTGGACTAATTTGTCAACCAGCCTACTGTCTTATTAACGAACTTTTAAATTTCACAATCCCTTTCTAATTTTTCAGCAACATGCCGAAGGACATTCCGTATTCTATGATTTCTTGGGTCTATTCTTTGTCTACTATACCGAGACACAGGGTAAAATTATAAATACTTGTGTTTCTCTAATAGTGTTGATAGCAGTGGGTGTATCCCTATGGTTTATGGCTGCTATTTCTTACATATCCATTGGCAAATTACTAAGAACTTATGCTTTAATACTGGTTTTACATATAGTGGGCCTAGCGTTAGCTCTGGGTTTACCCATTCTAATGGCGGTAATGTTTGATAGTGGAGATCGTTCTATGACTTGGTTTACCAGCAAATGGCTGGTATTTGGTTTATATGTCTGTCCTGCTTTAATAGGTTTGGCTTTGCCAAGTTTATTGTATTTAAGTTTTTCCAGAAATGTAAGTTTTAAGTTTTATACTAGTAATTAAATAGATTTTTATTAATTGATTTCTTGTTTTAGGATAAATTGCGTAAAAATTTCAAAATACAATTAATCCAGCATGCCCATGCCTTGTTAATGTCAGTTATATGTATAGTGGCCACTTTTATGGGTTTGCGCAGCTCTTATATGTTTATGATTCCTTTGTTTTTCTATGGTTTAGCTTTAATTTTGAATCTCATTACAACTTTACATAGACGTGGTAAGTGGGTCTTCGAAATTTAGTTTTCCTAAGTTTTTTTTATTAAATTCTTTATATTTTCAGGCAATTTCTGGTGCATTTTGATAATTTTAAGTCAAATTTTACCTTTCCTTTATGCTGCCTATATTTTCTTGATTTTAAATAGCACTTTAATGCCTATGATGGGTCGTTCGGGTTCCGGTTATAATCCAGATTTATTAATTAGTGCCATCTGTGGTATGGGCACAATATTGTGCATGGGTTTTGTGGTTTGTATTATGATAACCTCTTAATTTTGTTTTAAAATGATAAACAATATAATTCAAATGTTTATTATTTAGATGCCTATGTGGAATATGTTCCGTCGTTCTAAAGTTTTACTTTTATCTGTGTTTTTGATAACATTTATTTTTGCCATGCTCGCTATATCGCCCATTGGTTTCCCCTACAGACCCAAGACAAATGTCGGAAGAGTGAATTTTATGGTAAGTTGTTTATAGTAAGTCAGAACATAGATTAGACCATAGACTAGACAATAGTCAATGGAATTGCTCATTGAGTAGTCCACAGACTATTCAATAGAATTGGCCATTTACTAGTTCATAGACTACTCAATAGACATGTAACTAGTACATATAGACTAGTCTATATCTAGTCCATGGACTTGTCAATAGACTAGGCCACAGACTAACTCATAGACAATTCAACAGACTAACTCTTATACTATTCAATAAACTAAACCGGCATAGACTTGTCTAGATTATTGATTAGTCAGTAGACTATTCTAGTTTATTGATAAGACGCTTCACTATTCCATGAACTAGTCAGTAGAATTGTTCATAGACTAGGTCATAGACTAATCAGTTTAACTAAATAATCTCTCAATTTCAGAACGTACGTCGTGTATTTTACGAATATGATGGCTCTGTAAGTCGCAATGAATCTGGCTACTATTTTGATTTTCAAGACAGGCGCATGCATCATCCCATCGAAGGAAGCATAGATCTTAGTGACATGGAATCTGTAGCAGAAGATTGTGATGACTATATGATGTGTGGTTTTCCACTATTCAATCATCGTATGGTTAAAGCACGCAATACGGGACAATGGTTACCCACTAAAGAGCCAGCAGAATTACCGGCTACACCCACACTGAAATTATTAAACAAAACTTTTAATGCCAACAACAATACCGCGCGATTTGAGTTCGAACTGAGTGGACCACCCCACATGAGCATATTTTTCTTGCCCGTAGAAGGTGTGACAGTTGCAGATTGGTCTTTCCTTAAAGAATTATTAGACGAATATCAACCGCCTTATCATATATATCTAACCTATGGTAAATTACCCACACCATTAAAATTCTATTTTGATTTAAAGGTAAGTAATTAATAACAATAACAAAAATTTTAAAAATAAGCTATAAAATATTTTATTTTTACTTGCAGTTAAACAATAAAACATTAGATAAACCTTTATTCGAATTGGGCATATCCGGCCATTATGTTAGCTTTGAATATCCACGTGGTAAACATGCTCAAGAATTTGTTAAACAATTTCCCGATTATATATTCGTTATGGAATGGCCCAGTTCCTATGAACGTTATGTATATTAGTTTTTATAAGAACAAACAAAAAAAACTTGCCTTTAATTTTATGTTAAATTTAATACTTAAATTTATTTTACGATTTTTTGTTTAAATTTTTTATAAGCAAAAAAAACTTTACGCTAATAAAATGTTTATTTTAAGATGTTTTTTATTAAAAATTTTGTTTAAATACTACCACTCATAAGTTTCTGTATGGAACGATCGAATTTTCTGTAAAAGAATTGTGGAAAAGTTTGGTTTTATTGTGTTTGTATTTAAAAAATACTATAGTAGACTCACTTGGAGTTAAGCGGTTCGCCGGGTAAGTAAAAGGGATTACAAACAGCATCGGTGTAAAGCATATGAAGATTACGAAACATCTGTGTAAATTTTAGTTTAAAAAATTTTAAAAATAATTAGATTGGAACCATGAAATTCATGTTCAATACTGATGAGATTATGAAGAAATGATGCAAATGAGTTTTAAAAAGAAATTGGTTGAAATCTAAAGGGAATTTTAAGTTTAAAATAAGAGGCTAAAATATAATTTCAATGTATTTTGTTGTTTTTCTAATCACTTCTGAGTAAAACCTACAAAACTGACGAGTACTTGAACAGACATGATGTAATTGAACTGTTGTCATATAATTATTACTAAAAAATACCTAGCCATGATAAAAGTAATAATTTGTTGTATAGTTGTTCCAGAACTAGTCAAATTTACAAATTTTATATGGAAAGATGTCCCTAATCATAGTTTCTAACTAAATTTAATGACTAGAACCAAAACACTTCCAATAACTTAATACACTTACCGCTCTAACTTCATTTTCTCTTAAGGCAATATTTCCCGAATCTATAACCAGTATAAACTTGATTTTACTATTTGTCACATAGCCATAACTGAAAATAGACATCAAAAAGTGAATTCCCGGCAGATTAGCAAAACATCTAAGACAACATCAACAACCATTGACCAACTTACATTTTGTGTGTCTCCGTCGAATATAATTGTCCCAAATAAACTTCTTTACTTTCCGGTGTGCCCTTAGCAACCGGTTGACATTTCTCTTCTATAACATCAAGGGCAGCATGTACACGATACTGCAGCTCCAACTCCTTGTCCATGTCCGTGGTGGACAAGTAAAGAGGGGCGTTCTTAAAAAACACAAAATAGCTTATAAAATAAACATAAAGTAAGTTCAAATTATTAAATTAACTTACATCCTTGCCAATTATTGAAATGCAAACAGCCATTGTTAGTTTTTTAATAAAATGTTGTATATTTTTCAATGAAAGTTATATTTTTTATGATTTTATTTATATGCTTCTTCTTATTATTGGTTTGTTTACATTCGCCTACAAAAGTGTTGCCAACACAAAAATACTGTTTAATGTTGTATTATGATATTAACGGTTTTTAGTTTATATTTGTTTCAAATGTTCAGTGGAAATAAACAAAACCCAGATATTGGATGTAATATTGTTTTATCGAGGAAACGGGAAAACGCCTTTTTAATGAATTCGGAATTGACTACAATATCAATTTCTATATAATTAAAAGAGAGAATTTAACATATAAACGCGTAAACTTGTTGTTTAGGTGGTGTCACTGGACTCAGTATTTCAGCCATTTATAACATCAATTTTTAAATTAATTAATAGTACAATTCTTAAGAAAACTTATGTTTCTGAATAATGCTAAAAGTACCTATCAACTTAAAAGTCACCTATTGGTGTCTATTAAGCGATATCCATACGTCACTTCGTCCATATAAAACTGATTGCAATTGAAATTTGTATGAGAACTTTTATTCGGGTATTTCAGATAAAGATAATCTACATTCTTTGTTTAAACCTAGTTTAATATATGTTTTGTGTTTTTCAGTAAACAGTAACGTTACTTATTATCTTAGTTTAACTGAGTGTTATTGGCCAATTAAACTTAAGTTATAAGTGAGAAGACACAATTAACAAAAACAATAAAACAATGATTTCGGAAGAACAAAAACTTAATATTTTAAGTAAATTGCAATATTCTGATTTGTTTTGTTTTATTTATTATTGTTTTAAATGTTTATTTAACAATTTTCCAAAATTTTTCATTTTACAAAAGTATTATTTGCAAAAAACAGCTGTTCATTGTTTATGTTTTTGAGTGAAAAGTTGGCAATACTAACAAAGTTAACTGAACATAAATCCATAACTGAAAAACACAATAATCGATTAAAGTCCGCCTAAATTTGTTCCGAGTTTAATCTAACAGCAAGTTAAGCCTAGTTTAACTGAGTAGTAAGAAACCCGCCCTAAGAACAAAGCCAACTAAAACTAATCAAAATTTATCTAATATTTCACCTAAATCCATACAAATGTCCGCTGAAACATTTGAGTCTACAAATGATAGAAATATTAATAACAAACCTGAATTTTATATATCCAGATGGTAGTCCCATAACTAGCCTAGAAAACTTACTTAAAACAGTAGTTGCAAATGAACGAATGATATTAAAGTTATACGATATGTGGCCTCAGGTAGGTTAGTGTTCTAGTCTGTTAGACCGGGGGTGGTGGGTTCGATTCCCATCTGAGGCATTGGTAAAAGGCGCAAATCAGGCATGATAGAGCCCTTGATGTATTTCTTCAAATTTGATGTATATACATCCTCTTTTCAAACTAACTAATCAGCACTGTTTCATACTTCTTCAGCCGGACACTACAGTTTTGCAAAAATGTTAAAGAAAATTCCATTACAATTTAGTATATTTTGTTCAAAGTTTTTGGTTTTTTAAATGTAGTTAGTTTCTCCATGTTTTCAATTATTATTAATTTGATCTCTAATAAAAAGATTCACTGCATATTATTATAATTTAGCATTGCTATAAAGTTGTTTAAAATATTTGAAACACAGTTTTAGGACTTATTATTAGAAATTTATTGTTAAACAATTGAAAATTTTTTAACACTTCCTTTGTTGGCTTCGTAATTATCGTATTCCCACCAAGAAAACCTAGAAAGCAAAAAACAATAATAAACAATAATTGTCACTAATATACAAAAACAGTTACATACTTTAGAGTACCAGCTTCCAATAGAAAGAAATTAAACTAATTGCAGTAGATGTTGATAACACCTTAGGCAGCAGCATCTAAACGCTTTTGACGTTCCAACAATCTTCTCTCACGTTCGAATTCCTTCATACGCAATACATAGTCCTCATACTCACAGGTCATGTATTCATGTTTCTCGTGATGACATTTATACAACCAGGGGAATACATCAGAACGGCAGGCACGATATTTCAATAACTTATCGGCACAATAGTCACGATCGGCTAATGGCAGTTTGGCAGAAACCATTTCTTCTGTGGTCGCTTTCATGACACGTTCTTTGCGATTGGGTGCACCCAAGAGAGGATCGAATGTGGGTACACAGTCCGGTCCTGGCATGGTGTCAGGATGAGTAGCACGTACATATGCATTACCCATTTTGTTCTGGCTGTCGAAAATTTGCCTTAATTAAGAAATTTTTACAAAAAAATTTAATTTAACGAAGGCAAATTACGTAAATTTGCAGCTAAATGTTTGATGGTACACAAATGTCACAATTTGACAGTTATGGCAAACATATGTTTTTGTTAAATTGTCAAAAATTGTAATAGATTAAAGAGAATGGCGAATATGCAGAGGACATTCACGGTAAGATGATGACAAATCAAATAAAAAAATTATACAAAAAATAAAATGTATGCAAAATGTTCTAATATATGTATTTAGAACTTACCCGTGAACTTACCCGTAATTTAGAACGTACCCGTGAACTTAACAAACTTTCTGGCAAACTTTTTTGTTTTTCACTCATTTTGCAGAGAGAATAAATAAAAATCCTCTCTGAGAAATATGTGCAGACGAAAATTGAGTGTTTTCGGCTTTGCAGACATAATTTTCAGTGCTGCCAAGTTATTGTACATAAATTTAGTACAAAATTCATATATAATTATGTGGTGTACATCAATTTACACTGAATATCCACTCTTCTTCTTTTTTTGAACATGGGAGAGGATTTTCGGCTTTTAACAAACTTTTCATATATTTTCAACAAACTTTATATGTGAAATAAAATTATTTAAAACAAAAACTAATAATTATTAATTATAATCATAAATAAATACATTTATAAGTAAAAACCAAAAAGTAATATTTAATTTTAATTTTGTTATTGTTCAAAATAATAAGAAAAAACAATTTTTTGATCATAAGGGTCCAATTTTTACTTTGTGCCAAAAATCGAAATATGGGGATCTATAGAGGGAGGTTCGGCCAACATTTCCTCATATATAGTTTTCACGTTTACAGATAGCCCTCCGAACAAAATTTTCAAAAAACTGTTTTTGGACAAAATCACTCAATTTGTTTTTGGACCTTAAGGGTCCAATTTTTACTTTGTGCCAAAAATCGAAATATGGGGACCTATAGAGGGAGGTCCGGCCTACATTTCCTCATATTTAGTTTTCATGTTTACAGATAGGCATCGGAACAAAATTTTCAAAAAACTGTTTTTGGACAAAATCACTCAATTTGTTTTTGGACCTTAAGGGTCCAATTTTTACTTTGTGCCAAAAATCGAAATATGGGGACCTATAGAGGGAGGTCCGGCCTACATTTCCTCATATTTAGTTTTCATGTTTACAGATAGGCATCGGAACAAAATTTTCAAAAAACTGTTTTTGGACAAAATCACTCAATTTGTTTTTGGACCATAAGGGTCAAATTTTTACTTTGTGCCAAAAATCAAAATATGGGGATCTATAGAGGGAGGTCCGGCCAACATTTCCTCGTATTTAGTTTTCATGTTTACAGATAGGCCTCCGAACAAAATTTTCAAAAAACTATTTTTGGACAAAATCACTCAATTTGTTTTTGGACCTTAAGGGTCCAATTTTTACTTTGTGCCAAAAATCGAAATATGGGGATCTATAGAGGGAGGTCCGGCCTACATTTCCTCATATTTAGTTTTTATGTTTACAGATAGGCCTCCGAACAAAATTTTCAAAAAACTATTTTTTGACAAAATCACTCAATTTGTTTTTGGACTTTAAGAGTCCAATTTTTACTTTGTGCCAAAAATCGAAATATGGGGATCTATAGAGGGAGGTCCGGCCTACATTTCCTCATATTTAGTTTTCATGTTTACAGATAGGCCTCCGAACAAAATTTTCAAAAAACTATTTTTTGACAAAATCACTCAATTTGTTTTTGGACTTTAAGGGTCCAATTTTTACTTTGTGCCAAAAATCGAAATATGGGGATCTATAGAGGGAGGTCCGGCCTACATTTCCTCATATTTAGTTTTCATGTTTACAGATAGGCATCGGAACAAAATTTTCAAAAAACTGTTTTTGGACAAAATCACTCAATTTGTTTTTGGACCTTAAGGGTCCAATTTTTACTTTGTGCCAAAAATCGAAATATGGGGACCTATAGAGGGAGGTCCGGCCTACATTTCCTCATATTTAGTTTTCATGTTTACAGATAGGCATCGGAACAAAATTTTCAAAAAACTGTTTTTGGACAAAATCACTCAATTTGTTTTTGGACCATAAGGGTCAAATTTTTACTTTGTGCCAAAAATCAAAATATGGGGATCTATAGAGGGAGGTCCGGCCAACATTTCCTCGTATTTAGTTTTCATGTTTACAGATAGGCCTCCGAACAAAATTTTCAAAAAACTATTTTTGGACAAAATCACTCAATTTGTTTTTGGACCTTAAGGGTCCAATTTTTACTTTGTGCCAAAAATCGAAATATGGGGATCTATAGAGGGAGGTCCGGCCTACATTTCCTCATATTTAGTTTTCACGTTTACAGATAGGCATCGGAACAAAATTTTCAAAAAACTGTTTTTGGACAAAATCACTCAATTTGTTTTTGGACCATAAGGGTCAAATTTTTACTTTGTGCCAAAAATCAAAATATGGGGATCTATAGAGGGAGGTCCGGCCTACATTTCCTCATATTTAGTTTTTATGTTTACAGATAGGCCTCCGAACAAAATTTTCAAAAAACTATTTTTTGACAAAATCACTCAATTTGTTTTTGGACTTTAAGGGTCCAATTTTTACTTTGTGCCAAAAATCGAAATATGGGGATCTATAGAGGGAGGTCCGGCCTACATTTCCTCATATTTAGTTTTCATGTTTACAGATAGGCCTCCGAACAAAATTTTCAAAAAACTATTTTTTGACAAAATCACTCAATTTGTTTTTGGACTTTAAGGGTCCAATTTTTACTTTGTGCCAAAAATCGAAATATGGGGATCTATAGAGGGAGGTCCGGCCTACATTTCCTCATATTTAGTTTTCATGTTTACAGATAGGCATCGGAACAAAATTTTCAAAAAACTGTTTTTGGACAAAATCACTCAATTTGTTTTTGGACCTTAAGGGTCCAATTTTTACTTTGTGCCTAAAATCGAAATATGGGGATCTATAGAGGGAGGTCCGGCCTACATTTCCTCATATTTAGTTTTCAAGTTTACAGACAGGCCTACGTAAAAAATTTTCAAAAAACTGGTCGAATTTAAAGGACTTTCAAGTAGATTTAAAAGTAAATTTATTTAATTTTATCCGACTTTCTCGAGTTTTTTTTTCACAAATTATTTATGATAAAAAGTCGACTTTATTTTCCCAATTAAACGCCTGTATTTCTTAATGTTTTCGAATTTTTCTATTTTTTTATATAGAATAGTCGACTTTAACAACTTTTTAGGACATATCCGAATTTTTATATTATTTTAGTCTTCTTCAAGTTTTCTATCTATTAAAGTAAACATTTTTAAAGTTTTGTAAAATTTATTTCGAATTTTGCAGATACTCCATTTTTGAATTAAAAAAAAACTTTTTTAATTTTATTTAAAATTCGTTCTCGTAAAAATTGGGAAAGTTCGAAAAGAACTTAAAGAAATGTTTAATGTAGATTATGGCTGATAAAATTTTCAAGAAATTTGCAAACATTTTAAGTAATTCTTTTACAAAATCATAAGACGACTTTTCGGGTTAAAAATAAAGCCAGTATTCAGAAAGAAGAATGTAAAACAATATTTAAAATTTTATATGAAAAACACTAACAAAAACTGAGTAGTTTTCATACAAAATTTTAAAAATTGTTTTCTTTTCTTCTTTCTGAAACTTGAGAAAGTCGAAGCAATTCGATGAAAGTCGTTTAAAGTAAATTTTTTGTTAAAAATCTCCAAACGGTTTGAAATTTTAAAATAAGTTGGGATTTTAAAAACTTTAAAATTGTAAAAATTTTAAATAAGACAATAAAGTCATTCAAAGTCATATTTTTCTTTTTTGTCACAGAATAATTAATATTAATAGTTGTGTTTTGTTGCTAACGTTCAAAGGCAATTTCATATAAATTTAAAATTTATAAACGTTAGGAGTTAACGTGTAAAATTATACAAGTTAATTTTAACGTCGATAAAAGTGCTACCAATTCAAAAATAAAAATACAAATATTAATGTGTTTATGTCAAACAATAAAAAAATATTTTAAAATAAAATTTAAATCAAAAAAAAATATCAAATAAAAAAACCTTTTTTAAGAAAATGTAAATAATTTCAAGATTTAGCAGATTTCTTCTGTGGAGTGATGCCAAGTCAGGTAATGTTCGTTTTGTTGCTAACTTTAAGCGTTAACACTCATTGATAGCAACAAAACACAACTAATAATAATTTAATAGAAATGCACTTAAAATATATCTCCATCCCTGCATTACAACATCTGGCAACTTCTTTTAGTACCAAAAAAATATTTAAACTTGGTAGAACTTTTTTAATTGTTCTACAACAAATTAAATTTATTTTATATTTATATTTTTAAAATCTTGGAAAATATACTTTCCAAGCATATGTTCTTGTCAGAGGCGGCACTCTAGTGTTTTTGCCTTCAATTTCCATGCAAGCTAGACAAGATTTGGCCAATAAATGTTGATGGAAAGTGGGTTTTAACGACATTACCACAAAATGTAATTATAGTTTAGTTTTTTATATTGTTATGTATAACGTAAATAGTGAAATTTTTTTCCTACAGCTATAAGGAGCGTTTGGAATATGTAATGCTGACCTATCGTTTCTATACATTTTCTTAACTCAAAGAGTTTACGAGTTTCAAAGAACGTTTAACGAACAGTTTACATTACGTAGCAATTTCTGTAGAGGCTCAATTGTGTTATTTTGTCATGTTTTTTGTTGCTGCGCTTAATCGCCTCTTTTGTTGTTCACTTCCATTCAATATTAATTGCTAAACATTATCGAGCCGCTGCTTACAATGCCAAGGAATGTCAAAATTCGATTTCCACACCTGCCGAAGAAATCGCCGTTAATGAATCGTTGTGTGATTCATGACCACTTTAGTGTGGGCGATACCAATTTCGCTGCAATGTAAAGTGGTCAGTGATAATGTAGTGGCCGTGGTTAATTTGTGCGAAGCGACCATTAAAGGAAGTGACGAAGTCACCGAGGATGGTTTGTGGCAAAGACGTGAATGGAATTTATAGTAATTTTTTTATGAAGATTGTGTTTTTTTTTTTTCATTTATAGTTTTAAATATTTTCTAAATTTTATATAAAATTTACTGTCCTTACTTTTTTGATTTATTTAATAATTAATTTTCAAGTAAATTAAGTAAAAACAAGTTTAATTACAATGAAATTATAAAAATAATTACAAAAGATAAAACTGAACATTTAAAAAGAACTTTTAATAACGTTTTCTTTCAACCATTCATTGTTATTTATTTTGATCCTGATTTGTATACATAAATACAATACTATTATTTCCAAGTATTACCGAAAAAAAGTGTTTGTATTTATATACCTACATACAGTGTCTCTCATAATTATTCGAATTTGGGTAAACTATAAAAAGAAACCAAATATAATAATATATTTTGTGTGCAAAATAAATAAATTAATTTGTTATATTGTCTAGATAGTCCTTATGTTTGATATCACGCTTTTTAAAACTTGAAAAATTTGCATTGACTTAAATTAATTGTGGATTTTTTAAAAAAGTCCATGAAATTGCCTCTCAAAAGTATACAAATTTTTCCTGTATTTCATATTTGATCATATTATACGCAACACAAATTTTAGAATCGAATGGTTTTTATGCGTAATATTGTTTTAAGGGGTTACTATCCACGGAAAGGATATATTTTTGGCCCATTTGGTCCACAATTTTGGGGAATTTGTACCTTTCTTCAAGTAATATCATTAAAATGGCGATTTTTGGCCATAATTGTAAATTTTTCTCCTTATTTCCAGAGATAAAACAAAAATTTGATATTGGGACTTAAAAGACCCCTTGGGGTATCTAAAAATAATATTTTTTGTTACAAGAATCTGTATTTAAACGTTCCAAGATAAATTATTCGGATCATTCTTCTGTCGCTAATTCAATATATTGGAACTTAAGTCCATTTTTATAATACTAGGATCAACTATTTTCGGGAAAAGTTTTCTGGTATATATTCTTTTAGATATCAGCTTTTATACATTTTAAGTTTTCAATGTGTTGTGGAAGTGTACAACTCCAAAACATGCCTCGAAGAAACACCATTCAAAATAGTAAAATCATTATTTTTATATACCAATGGCCTCCATGCTGCACGGCACGATATCATTATGATCTAACTCAAAAATGTTGATATGTGTTTAAATAGTATTTATTATGATCAAATTAAAACCAAAATTTTGGACTTACAGTGTTATTGTAACGGGCAACATAAGTGTGAAAGTTACGAGTAGTAAAAACTGAAATCTACTATATAGGATGACGTTTTGTTAAGGCATGTTTTGGGGTTGTATACCGCTATAATATATTGAAAATTTAAAATATATTAGTGCCAATATGTACATGAATATACACTAGACAACTTTGTCGGAAAATATCGTCCCTAGAGGTACGAAAAGGGACTTATGATCCAGATAATTCAATTAGAAACTGAAAAACGATACCAAAAATTCATCTTGGAACGTTTAAGTACAGATCCTTATAACAAAAAATATTATTTTTAGATACCTTATGGGTTCTATTAAATTCCAATATTAAATTTTGGTTTTATCTCTGGAAAAAGGGTGAAAACATTACAAATATAGCCAAAAATTGCCATTTTAATGATATTACATGAAAAGAGGGTACAAATCCCCCAAAATTGTGGACCAAATGGGTCAAAAATATATCCATGCGGTTGATAGTTACCCCTTAAAACAATATTAAGCATAAAACCATGCGATTCTAGAATTTGTGTATCGTATAATATGATGAAATACAGGAAAAATTCGCATACTTTTGTGAAGTAGTTTCATGGACTTTTTTAAAAAAAGCACAACTAATTTAAGTAAATGTAAAGTTTTCAAGTTTTAAGGGGCGTGATATCAAAACTAAGGACTATCTAGACAATATAACAAATTAATTTATTTATTTTTCACACAAAATATATTATTCAATTTGGTTTCTTTTCATAGTTTACCTAAATTCGAATACTTATGTATTTTGTTCTTGTGTATTTTGTTCTTGTTTTTTTGTGTATTTCGTTTCGTATGTTTGGATGTCTGTTGGTTTTACTGCCTTGTGTATTTTGTTTTTTGAGTGTTTATTTCGTTTAGCGTTGTTGTTGTTCATTTTGTTTTGCTATTGCTATAATAATGGCGTGTCGTCTAATAAGCTCACATTGTGGTTGTAAAAGTACCACCGTGAAATAAGGCCAACACGGCAGGTGTTCACGTAAAGCACTTCGAATTATGTATCTGTTGTCTTTCCGGCAACAGCAGTGAACTTATCCAGAAATATAGATTTCACCGTTCATCAGTCTTTTTATCAACACGATTTTGGATTTAAACCTCAGCCACCGCGTGCATCCGAAGGGACCTCTCCAATAACCGTGATGAGACAAAAATGGCAATACAGACGAGTAAGGGAACGTATATAGTCTAATCTATAGTGTAGTCTATAGTCTAGTCTATAGTTGTATAGTCTAATCTATAGTTTAGTCTATAGTCTAATCTAAAGTGTAGTCTATAGTCTAGTCCATAGTTTAGTCTATAGTCTAGTCCATAGTCTAGTCTATAGTCTAGTCCATAGTCTAGTCTATAGTCTAATCTATAGTCTAGTCTATAATCTAGTCTATTGTCTAATCTATAGTCTAGTCTATAGTCTAGAATATAGTCTAATCTATAGTGTAGTCTATAGTCTAGGCTAGTCTATAATCTAGTATATAGTCTAATCTATAGTGTAGTCTATAGTCTAGGCTAGTCTATAATCTAGTCTATAGTCTAGTATATAGTCTAATCTATAGTGTAGTCTATAGTCTAGTCTATAGTTGTATAGTCTAATCTATAGTTTAGTCTATAGTCTAATCTAAAGTGTAGTCTATAGTCTAGTCCATAGTTTAGTCTATAGTCTAGTCCATAGTCTAGTCTATAGTCTAGTCCATAGTCTAGTCTATAGTCTAATCTATAGTCTAGTCTATAATCTAGTCTATTGTCTAATCTATAGTCTAGTCTATAGTCTAGTATATAGTCTAATCTATAGTGTAGTCTATAGTCTAGGCTAGTCTATAATCTAGTCTATAGTCTAGTATATAGTCTAATCTATAGTGTAGTCTATAGTCTAGGCTAGTCTATAATCTAGTCTATAGTCTAGTATATAGTCTAATCTATAGTGTAGTCTATAGTCTAGTCTATAGTTGTATAGTCTAATCTATAGTTTAGTCTATAGTCTAATCTAAAGTGTAGTCTATAGTCTAGTCCATAGTTTAGTCTATAGTCTAGTCCATAGTCTAGTCTATAGTCTAGTCCATAGTCTAGTCTATAGCCTAATCTATAGACTAGACTATAGTCTAGTCTAAAATCTAGTCTATAGTCTAGTATATAGTCTAATCTATAGTGTAGTCTATAGTCTAATCTATAGTGTAGTCTATAGTCTAGGCTAGTCTATAATCTATTCTATAGTCTAGTATATAGTCTAATCAATAGTGTAGTCTATAGTCTAGTCTATAGTTGTATAGTCTAATCTATAGTCTAATCTAAAGTGTAGTCTATAGTCTAGTCCATAGTTTAGTCTATACTCTAGTCCATGGTCTAGTCTATAGTCTAGTCTATAGTCTAGTCCATAGTCTAGTCTATAGTCTAGTCTATAGACTAGACTATATTCTAGCGGAAAATTAGTTAAGTACTTTAAAACCTAAAAAGTACTTTTTTTGTTATAAGTACTATTTCAAAAAAATATTTGTAGTGGTTGTAGTTTATCCTTTCCTTAATGAATTCATAGTCTAATTATTGCACAACTTTACAATTGAATTTCAGATTACTTCATTATTATGTTTTTTTTTTTTGTCAATTTTTTAATATTAAAATAAATGCAATCTTTAATCACGCTTAAATTTAACTTTACATTGTAGATTAAGAAATATTAATGCAATTCACATCTTAGTACGACTTAATATAAATTTAAGAAGAAATTATATTTCATTTTGTATTTAACTTAATATTAACGAAGGGGAGGAGGTTGAGGTATAACAGCAAATAGAACCAGTCCATTTTCTGGCTAAGAAAACAAATGTACGCAACAAATTATACATCAATTTGAGACATTTTCTTAAGCATCAATTTGATACATTTTCTTAACATTGGGAGAAACAATGAATTTAGCTCCAGTGCAGGCGGTAATATCATCAACGGTAAGACCCTCAGCGATTTCAAGAAGAGTAAGACCAGCACCCTTTTCAACTTGGAAAACAGCCTGAAAACAAAAAAAATCAAAAATTAATACATAAATTTAAAAAAGCTTTAAATTGTTCGTTTTACCTTTTCGGTAATAATTAAATCAACAACATTTTTGCCGGTCAAAGGCAAAGAGCAGGAGTCCAAAATTTTGGGAGAACCATCACGGGCATTGTGTTCCATTGTAACAACCACTTTAGTACCGGGAGCAGCTACCAAATCCATAGCACCACCCGTACCCTTAACAAGTTTACCCTGAAATTCCAAATTGATTTTTAATATATTCCACAAAATTTTAAAACTTACGGGAATCATCCAATTTGCCACTAGTAGCCAACACTTGCATAGCACCCAAAACAGTCAAATCCATATGACCACCACGGATCATGGCAAAACTGTCATCGGAACCAAAGAAAGAAGCACCAGGTACGACGGTAACAGTTTCCTTACCAGCATTAATCAAATCAGGATCAACTTTATCCTTAGTGGGGAAGGTACCCAAACCCAAAATACCATTTTCCGATTGCAACATAACATTCATGCCCTTAGGGATGTAGTTGGAGGCGAGTACGGGCATACCAATACCCAAATTGGCATACATACCATCACGGAACTCCATGGCAACGCGTTTAGCAATACGTTCACGTACGGCCTGGGCTGGTGTGGGAGCCGATTTCTTGGTAGAGTCAGTCTCAGTAATGCGTACCTTTTCGATACGTTTCTCATAGTTGGTACCCTTGAAGATACGCTTAACATAGATGCGAGGAATATGGATTTCATGGGGATCAATAGCACCTATGGGCACAATTTCTTCGACCTCAACAATGGTGACTTTAGCAGCACGGCACATAGCGGCATTGAAGTTACGGGCAGCCTTATTGAAAACCGTAATAATTAATAATTTAAAATAAAGAATAATTCAATATTTCCTCTTTTATATAAAACTCACCCAAATTGCCATAGGGATCAGCCTTTTGAGCCTTGACAATAGCAAAATCAGCAAACATAGCCTCCTCCATGACATAGTTTCTGCCATTAAATTATTGTACTGGTTTTGGTTTGCTAGCAATTTCAACTTTACCATCTTTGCTGTATTTAATTGGAGCTCCACCTGTTTGGATAAGAGTACAATAACCGGTGGGTGTAAAGAAGGCGGGTACACCAGCAACAGCGGCTCTAATTTTTTCAGCTAATGTACCTTGTGGTGTCAATTCTACAGCCAATTCACGGGATAAATATTGGTTGACCAATTCAGCACTTTCACCTACATACGAGAAAATCATCTTACCCAATTGGCGAGACTTCAAAGGCACTATCGTGTAAATCGTGCACTGCATCAGCGGCACTTTCATTGATTTTACCGTTAGCTGATTTACCACTGGTGGAATAGCAAGCTATTAGCTAAAAGAAACAAACACGTTCTTTTAATAATTACAATAAAAAAATCTTAAAGTAAATTCATCGGTAGGATCAGTAGTTGTGCCAAGTTGACATTTTTTTGTACTAAAAAGTTGCCATTTGCTAAGTACAGGGTTGGATAAGCTTTTCCTAAATTATCTTGGTTTGAATCTAAAAAGTCGACTTTTTCAAATTATTCGCATTTTCTTTATACTGTATTCACACCAAAATAAAAGATAGACATTGAGTTATAAAAATCTTTTAAAACTCTTTATTAATTTATTTATATGAAATAAATGAAATTTATAAATTTAAAATGTTAAAATATGAAAAATTCAAAAAGTAGTTTTTCACTTTTAGACGTTTTCTTTTACATATTAGTTTTCGACAAAATTTTGAATTTGTATGGGAAAACTAAATAAATTTTAGTAGTTTTTCAAACAAAAACTCAATAAAGCCAAAAACTACTAGCTTTTACTTAGTGTATAGGGCATATTAGTTTTTTAATTAAAAAGTAGATTTTTTGTTATAACAATTCCGCTAACGTTGTAATCAAATTGTATTTCAAATATTTCTATATTTTTAGACATTTTTATAAAAAAACAATTATTGCATTTGAGAATTTTATATTTACATTCCAAAATTTTCAAAAGTATTTTAGAAGTTTCCTTTTGTATTGCGGAAATTTCTATTTGTATTTTAGATTAATATTTTTTATATATTTAGAATTTATATACATTTTAGAAATTCTAGTTAAAATTTTAAAATGCAATTAGTAAATTTTGATATAAAATTAGATATTTCTAAAGTACAATTTTAATTTAAAATTGAAATAAATTAAAAATTTATGAAAATTGGAAAATTCAATTGAAAATTTTGGAGGAACAATTGAAATTTAACATTAAAATAAATTGGAAAATATGGGTACTAGAAATTTAAATATTTTTGTTAAATTTGTAGATATACGTTTAGAAATAAAAATTTATAAATACCGTATTCCAAAACAAAAAAATTAAAATACCTTTAATAAATTATTTTATAATATATCAAAAATAATTTCGTATATTGTTGTTTGAAATTGTTTTCATTTAATTCACTTCCCATCCTTGATGAGTGCATTTAAATATATAAGAATTTGGCAGCACTGCACATTCAGTCTGCAAAGAAAAGAAAATACTCATATTCTGCACAAAAAACTCAATTTCTGCAAATAATACTCATTTTCTGCACAAAAGAGTAATTTTCTCCCTCTCTCCCATAATCGAGTAAAAAAAGTTTGCCAGCCAGAGTTTGTTATCTTCTCGTGGCTATACATATATATATTCGGATAAATATATTAAAATGTTTAATTAGACTTTTATATTTGAATGCACCATCCATGGTATATTTAACAAGGTAGTCTCGTCGCTACAACAAATACAATAATACAAAAACAACAGGCATTTTGTTATTGTAAAATAGGCCAAACTGTCAAAAAAATGTGTGTGTGTAATAGAAAAACAATAAATAAACACAACAGAAATTTGCGATTTTTGTTTTAAAAATTTAAAATAAGAACTGAAAGAATAAGAAATGTCTTTATTTGCATCCATGTTTACGTAAATAAGTGTCCGGAATATTGAATATCGTAAAATTTAGCGTTCAGCTTTTGTGGTTGTTAATGCATTTTAACATCAAGTCATGATTTTTTAGATAAATGTAAGTAACAATTTCAGATAAAGCATAACAGAATGATAATTTTTCCATAATTTCTCTAAATTAGCTTCATCTGCATAACAAGTCTAAACAAAAATAGGTGAAAATTAAACTAATTCTAAAACTGTAGATAAGAATGTGAGTGCATCTGTTATCAAGCGTCCCTAAAACTTTTACAGAGGTATCGAACTTCGTTGATTAAATTGGTGGTTTATACAAAGGTCGCTTCTATATAGCTTTTACAGAACCAGTTCCTGGGATGCTCTTTAATTTAAAATTATCATCGCCAAACTAGAACAGATAAAAGTAGGTAAATTGCATGCGTGCTATGTTTGTGTGTCACACAAACATAGGTCACGTTAAGTCTTAACTCCGGGTACATAAAAGCAATGAGTGCCACATTGAAGTCACACACAATATTATTATTCTCCAATCTTCATTATTTTAAATTAATTTAATTGAATTAATAAAAAATATAAAACTTAAATTTATTTTTTTACAATATTTCACAATTATTTTGAAAGATTTTTCAAATTCAAATAATTTTAAAATTTTCCATAGTAACGTAAACAAACATTTTGACAAATTGGCCTTAAGCAGCTGATAATCAGCTGTGCTGATGAGTATACCTTCTTAATCTACCTTGGCACCATCCTTTAAAAGTATTATCTTTTAAGTAACTCATTTGTTTACTTCATAGTCTTAAGGTCCCAAATTTCAAACAGAATCCATTCCGTATTAGAATGAATTCAATCAAATAATCATAATCACTTCAATTTTCAAAATAAAAAATGTGAAAACAAAACTTTTATTCAATCTATTCCAAACTGAATAGTGGAAAAACTTTCTTTCAATTTGTAATAATTTGAATTAATATTTATCATTCAGACAGAATTGGTTAAAGAATATGGAAATGGTTGAAAAATATTAAATTTAAATAAATTTAAATAAAATTAATTCTTTGGAAAGTTTTTTTTACAAATTCCGTTATTTAATTGTTTACACTGTACCACATCAGACCTGCCTTATCGGTAATAGTTGATTTTTTAGTACTTTATGTTTACATTCATTTTGATACGTTGTACAACTACTGTTCACATTAAGCTGTCATTATTTATTTCTCTTACAGAGATGGAAACGTTTATAAAAAATAATCTCTGTATATTAATTATAAATATAATTATATAAATAATTAAATTGCCTAAATATTTAACTAAATATAGAAATATTTAAATATTAAACAAAAAATTTTTGTATTTTTATAATGAAATTAAATTTCTATTTTAACATTTTTGTTGATAACTTTTAACAATTAATATACTCCAGCTCTGACCCCTATGATGTCAACATTAGTCAGTCATTAAACTGAAAAAGGAAATAGTAGAGAGAGTGTTTGCAAGTGTTTACATTGTTTATATATATTTTTCTCTGCCGTTTTCTTGTTATTCCTACAATTTTTATTATTATTTAACAATTTCATTTTTGATTTCTTAAACATATCAAAGAAAACAAAAAGCTTACCATAAAATCGTAAAAGAAACAAATGAAAAATGCGTAATAAAAAAACTATTTAATGAAAAGTTACAAATTATGGCGACGCCTCCTCATTAATGATTAATTTTGCAAAAAGTGAAGAAAAACGAAAAAAATAGAATTATAATTTGGTGATTGGATACGTCATACTAAAACAAAATGCTGGTTAATAGACAAACAAGTATATAATATACAAATTAGACCAACCATATAATAAAATACAAAACGATGTGAAAAAATTTATTAAAATCATCATCATGAATATAATAAAAATGTATACCATATTTAAAGAGAGAACTAAAAAAATTAAACAAATTTCTTTCTAAGCAGACTAAAAAAACAACAAAATACAAAAACTTGTTTTTTTCGACAATTTTTATTCCCATACGGAATGTATGTTTGTGTGCGAGTAATGTATAGACGTTACAGTTAAATTAAAGTGGTTGGTTTTTTTATTTAAGTGAAAGAAGTGAATGTATAAAATAAAAAAACAAAGTATAAAGTGAAGTGGCTTAAGTTCAAATTTCGTGAAAAAATTATTATGCCAATTATACTACAAAAAAAAAAAACAAATAAAAAGTCATAACAAAAGAGTAACAAACCAACAATATATAATACAAGACAAAGAAAACCAAGAAAGACCAACTAGGAAGTAACTAACTAAATCATTATTGTTGTTGTTGTCTTTTTTTAATTTTCAATTGTTTATGTTTTTGGTTTCTCATGTGTGGTGTTTCTCAGTACAATACACACCAACAACTTAAACCTCATCATCTTCGTCATCATTTGAACCATCAACCAACCTTAACGTAATCAACAAAAGGAACAACATAAAAGTTAAATAACAACAACAACAAGAAAAATAACACCAGCAAGATGTCATCATCGATTAAAGTTGCTGTCAGGGTTCGTCCCTTTAATGCAAGGTAAATAAAAACACAAATGACACATAAATAAAATCAATTTCATATTAATGAATGTACGGGAATTTGAATGTTTATTCAATAGGATTATGAAATCAATATAAAGATTTCTTTAAAGATAATGTGTATACAAAGTGGTCTAGTATATGTATTAAATAAAAACAACATAATAAAATCGTCAAAAATACAAATAAGAATTTTTACATACTATATAAATCAAACAAAGTCTATATTGCTTATTTTTTTTATCAAAAATGTCATAACTCAACATTTCTAAACTGAGTGATTATGTACCAATGTAGCTTATTTATTCAGCTGAATTTAAAAATTTGATTATAAAATAACATAATTCAGCTTCGGCATTATTCTGCTGATAATTTCAACAATTAGTTGATATATAATATTCTATTTTAAGAAAAATCAATTCAGCTAGCTTTCAATGCTATTCAGCTGAGTAAATTTATATAAAAAACAAGTAAATTATAATTTAAGAACATTTATTGACAGGAAATACAATTGTAATACCTTGGTTTTCTCATCAGTTAAGTAATTTTATTATTAATGTAAAAGCATATATTATGCCTGTACAAAAATGAATTCAGCTAGCTTTTATTGCTATTCAGCTGAGGAAATTTCAAGTAAATTATGATATGAGAACTTTTTTATTAAGTTATATAATTCAGCTGGTCCATTTTGCTATCCTTCTGAGTAAAATTTTTCAAATTTAAAAAAATCATGTTATATCTGCTGGCTTATATTTTTATTCAGCAGAGTAAATTTCAAGTATAATGTAATATAAGATCATTTATTAGCAAGTAACACCATTTAGCTGCCTTATTTTGTTATTCAGCAAATTAATTTTCATTTTAAATATAAAAAATAAGTACCATGCTTTAAGATAAATCAATTCAGCTAGCTTTTATTACTATTCAGCTGGGAAAATTTCAAGTAAATTAAAATATTACAACTTTTATTATTAAATAATGTAATTCAGCTAGTTCAGTTTGCTATTCAGCTAAGTGATTTTCTTGAAATATCAAAAAATTCATTGTCATTTCTAAATAAATTCAACTTGTATTCTGTTTTTAGCGAAAACAAGTTATATTTTAATATTGCAATTTCCTAAATAAGTAGAAAATTGATTTATTGGTGTTTGTAACTTGCAAAAAGTTTATTTGTGTAAAAATATATTGGGCTTTAAAATGATAATAGTGTTTAGTTTTTGCAATAAAATGTTAGTAATTAAAGCCGTGTCATAAATAACTATCATATACAATTTTAATAATAATTATTATCATATGTGTAATGAAAATTAAAAAGTAATTGTTTATAATAAAAATGACGGAAAAAGTATAATTTGTTAAACAAAGAGATAACAACTGAATTAAGAGGGCTTCAAATCTATTTTCGACAAAAATTTCCTAAATAGTGAAAATTCGATTACAAATTACTTAATTCTTTGAAACATCTAAAAAAATTGAAAACATTTTAACGATATATTGTCAGTTTTTTTTACAAACATTATTTTAACCGGCCGGTGTTTGAATTCGCAAAATTGTCTTTAATTGATATTAAGATTTTAAACCGTTTATTAATAACCATCACAAGTTATTCTCAATTTTTTATATTTTTAAAAAGTAGAACATATTTCTTTTTTCTTTATTAAAAAAATGCATTAATTTTATTTAATCCTACTTTTCATAAGTGTGGCGGCATAATTTGATAAGTGATTTAAATTAGGGTGGTTGGTTACCGTAACAACACAAACGGTCAAAAGGCATTGATAATGAATTTTCGAAAAGTGTTGCTAACTTTTAAACAAAAAAAGCTGCAATTCATATAAACATAAGCATTGCGGTTGAATATATCGGAGTGTTGCTAGTTCAGATTAATTTCAGTTGTAGTTCAGTGTTTCAATGATTCTGTTTCAGTTCTATTCAATATCTAGTTCAGTTGTAGTTCAGTTCTAGTTCAGTTCTAGTTCAGTTCTAGTTCAGTTCTAGTTCAGTTCTAGTTAAGTTCTAATTCAGTTCTAATTCAGTTCTAGTTCAGTTCTAGTTCAGTTCTAGTTCAATTCTAGTTCAGTTCTAGTTCAGTTCTAGTTCAGTTCTAGTTCAGTTCTAGTTCAGTTCTAGTTCAGTTCTAGTTCAGTTCTAGTCAGTTCTAGTTAGTTCTAGTTCAGTTCTAGTTCAGTTCTAGTTCAGTTCTAGTTCAGTTCTAGTTCAGTTCTAGTTCAGTTCTAGTTCAGTTCTAGTTCAGTTCTAGTTCAGTTCTAGTTCAGTTCTAGTTCAGTTCTAGTTCAGTTCTAGTTCAGTTCTAGTTCAGTTCTAGTTCAGTTCTAGTTCAGTTCTAGTTCAGTTCTAGTTCAGTTCTAGTTCAGTTCTAGTTCAGTTCTAGTTCAGTTCTAGTTCAGTTCTAGTTCAGTTCTAGTTCAGTTCTAGTTCAGTTCTAGTTCAGTTCTAGTTCAGTTCTAGTTCAGTTCTAGTTCAGTTCTAGTTCAGTTCTAGTTCAGTTCTAGTTCAGTTCTAGTTCAGTTCTAGTTCAGTTCTAGTTCAGTTCTAGTTCAGTTCTAGTTCAGTTCTAGTTCAGTTCTAGTTCAGTTCTAGTTCTAGTTCAGTTCTAGTTCAGTTCTAGTTCAGTTCTAGTTCAGTTCTAGTTCAGTTCTAGTTCAGTTCTAGTTCAGTTCTAGTTCAGTTCTAGTTCAGTTCTAGTTCAGTTCTAGTTCAGTTCTAGTTCAGTTCTAGTTCAGTTCTAGTCTAGTTCAGTTCTAGTTCAGTTCTAGTTCAGTTCTAGTTCAGTTCTAGTTCAGTTCTAGTTCAGTTTTAGTTCAATTCTACTTCTTTTCACTAAATGTGAAATTTTTCACTAAAAAATATTATTTTTGAAAAAATTTCCAAAATTATTTAAACATTTTATAAAAAAAAATTAAACGACTTTTTTACTTACAGGGAAGTGGATATGGATGCTCAGTGTATTGTGGAAATGGAAAGTAAAAAAACTCGTTTGCTCAAGCCAAAAGTACAATCAATGCGTGATACACAGTTTCATGATTTTACATTCGATTACTCCTATTGGTCATTTGACAAAGAAGACAAACACTTTGCCACACAACAACAAGTCTACAGTGACTTGGGTACAGATGTTATTGATTGTGCCTTTGAAGGTCAGTAGAAAAGAAACTTATAATTTAATTTAAAGGAAATGCAATAAATCATACTATTGTTTATTTAGGTTACAATGCTTGCGTGTTTGCTTACGGCCAAACAGGCTCCGGTAAAACATTTACTATGATGGGCACCAGTGATAACCCTGGCCTTATACCACGTATTTGTTCGGAACTTTTTGCTCGCATGCGTGTTGGCCAGGAGTCGGGCACCAGTTATAAAACACATGCCAGTTATTTGGAAATTTATAATGAACGTGTTAAAGATTTACTGGGTCCTCAGTCTAGTGGTCATGGTCTGAGAGTTAGAGAACATCGCACTTTGGGTCCATATGTTGAGAATTTATCACAACATTCTGTAGCTGATTTCGAGGAAATTCAAGAGTGTATAGCTCGTGGTAATGTACAACGCACAACGGCCAGTACAAATATGAATGATACCAGTAGTAGAAGTCATGCCATATTTACCATAACATTTGTGCAAGCGGGCTTTATGAATGATATGCCTAGTGAGACAGTATCGAAAATACATTTAGTGGATTTGGCAGGAAGGTAAGTGGAATATATTAGAAAATAATTTGTATTTTATTATTAATTTTATGTTAAAATAGTGAACGAGCTAATGCCACGGGCGCCACTGGACAACGTTTAAAAGAGGGAGCCCATATTAACAAATCATTGGTTACTTTGGGCAGTGTTATTTCGGCCTTGGCAGAACAAAGCAATTCCTCGGGATTAAATACCACGGGTGGCAATTCAAAACGTGTTTTATATATACCCTATCGTGATTCCATTCTCACCTGGTTGCTGAAAGACAGTTTGGGAGGCAATAGTAAAACTATTATGATAGCTGCTCTTTCGCCGGCCGATTGTAATTACAGTGAAACCTTAAGTACTTTGCGTTATGCCAACCGCGCTAAGAATATCATCAATAAACCAACAATCAATGAAGATCCTAATGTTAAACTTATACGTGAATTGCGTGATGAAATCAATAAACTGAAATCCATGTTAAATGGAGATGTGGTAAGTATTTATATTAAAAACGGATTGATAAGGTATTAGTATTAAATTGTATGAATATTTCTACACAGCATGCCCTGCAGCCTTCTCTTAAAATGTTGGAAGATTTACAAAAGAAAGAGGCTCAGGAGAAACATCTTACCGAAGAATGGACTGAAAAATGGAAGGAAGCTCAATCTATTTTACAAGAACAAAAAAGTTTGGGTTTACGCAAATCCGGTGTGGGTGTTGTATTGGACTCAGAAATGCCTCATCTTATTGGCATACATAATGATATAACTACCGGTGTTACTTTATACAGTTTAAAAGAGGGTGAAACCTCTATAGGTACCGAGGAGTCTGAAATACCACCTGATATAGAGTTAAGTGGTGATGGTATACGTCCTCAACATTGCAGTATTGTACTCAAGGATGGCATTTGCACTTTGCATCCCAAACCTTTGGCACAGTGTTGGCTTAATGCCAATCTTATAGATGAACCCACAAATATATCTCAGGGTGATATTATCCTCTTGGGACGCACCAATATTTTCCGTTTCAATAACCCTACTGAGGCAGCTAGACTACGTAAAGAATATAGTCGCTCCCAATTGGATATGTCTAGATTATCGTTGATTACTTCATCACGTGAAAATCTTTTAACATCCAGTTTTTGTTTGGATGATGAATCATCTTCTATGAGTAGTAGTTTGATTTCTTCTCCCTTCAAACGTAGTGATAAACAGTACTACCCTACAAAACCCATGTCACGTGATGATCCTGAGTTACAAGATGAAAATCGCAAAATTTTAGAGACCATAGAAAATGCTCTCAAACAATTAAATATTGTAAGTGAAGGGAAATAACTACTTATGAAGGGAGTCTTTAGTTTAAATCTTTTGTTTTTTTGTTTAGGAACGTGTTCAAATGCATGACCAGTACAAGATTAAAGTACAAAATTTAACTGAAGAACTTAAACGTTTAGAAAAAGAAGAGAAAAATAGTTTGGAGTTGTTGCGCTGTCGCGAAGAAGAACTAATGGCCAGAAAAGATATGTTACTTTGGGAGAAAAATAATGAAAAAGTACAGGTAAGTAATCTTAATCTGGAGTCTATTACAAATCAGTAGTGAGTTTTATGTACAAACTTTTTTATTGTTAAATGTTTTTGTTATTAGTTTAGCTATTTAATTGTTTTTTAATATGTTCTTGTTTTTGTGTCGTTTTAGACTGATATTGTGTGTAGACAGATCTCTGCTTTGCAAACCCAGCTCGACTCAAAAAAACGTGATTTTTCTGAGTATGTTGCCAAAGAGCTGCAAGAATTGCAAGATTGTGGCAAATTAGATGAGGTTTGTGTTGGATTTAATAACTTTAATTTTGTTAACTAAAAACTAAACTAATGAAAAATATGCTGAAAAATGGTCCTTTGGAATAACTACGAAACAAAGCAAAGTTGTTGAGCATAATATGTAGAACCGAAAGACCATATTTTTCTTTAGAACATTTGTACCATGTTTTCACGATAACTTAAATTACTTTTTCCTTAGATTGACATAAAAGTGGATCCTTCCGTCCCTTTGACCGACGATTTATTATTGCTCGCAGCCGATTCATTAGACTTATTTGCTTCACAATTTATTAAAGACACAGTTAAAAGAAATGTAAGTTCATTTTTTGAAATTAAAAGTTAATTCTTTTATTAAATACATATTAACATTTACAGAACGAAGACATACATCGTTTAGATGAACAGGTGGCTGAAAAGGAACGTATCTTAAAGGCCAGCACAACAAAAATCGCACAAGTTGATGAAAATCTATTACAAATCGAAGAACAATTGGAAAAGTTACGTTTGCAACGTTTACAAAAGGAAGCTGACTATGACAATGATTTACAAATGAAAAAAGAAAAGTGAGTTAAGAAAGACTTTGCAAATAATTTAGATTTTTTTCACAAAAACTAGTTTTTACTCTAAAACTCAGTTTTTGCAATTTAATTTTTACACTTAAATACTTTCTTTTACCCAAACCCGAGATTTTACATAAAATTCTAGATTTTAAACCAAAAACCCGAAAAACTTCTTAATATTTTTGTTTACATTCTGCTTTTCAGCTTAAAACTTAACCTCAACAAGAAATCCACAACCGATATGAATGTTCAGACCGAAAATGACATCTCATCGAGAACTGATACTTATGAAACTACCTGTGATACTTTTCATACAGCTCAAACGAATTGCTCCAATCTCAGTTCACCGACAATCGCAGAAGATGAAATAACGCCTCTGAGTAGTTGTACTCTGTCGTCGGGCGAAATTGACGATGTTGATGATATTAACGACGATGATGACGATACAATTTCCGATGGTATACGAAAATCAAAATCATCACCTTCCTCTTCAATGGCCACAAACACAGAAGACACCCAGTCGAGTTCGAAAAGTGGCAGCATAAGAAAAAACCTAAATGTACCCAATGCTGTAATGAGTGACAGTGGCGTGTGCTTGGATACGGTGGTGAAATCTTCCAATCTTAATAATTTGCACGACTTGACAACCTCTACAAATATGCCCCTAGATAATGATAATGCCTTAAATCATGCAGCATGCAATTCAGATGATGAGACAGCTTCATGTTCATCTTGTGAAATTAGTGCTAATTCTGATAGCGTGCAGACACACTGTCCCATGCACAGTTTACGACGTAAAATTGCTGCACAAAAAGCTTTAATTATGAAAAATCTCGAAATGAATGTCAACAAAACAATGTTGGATGAACAGATAGCCGAGTTGCAAGAGTTGCAAAAACGTTATGTTAAAATTGAAAAGCATATGTTAGAAACGGGACAACATACAATGGATGAACATCAACTATGTTGTCAAACGAATGCAGAAGAACTAGAGTATGACAATGAAGAGGGAGTGGAAACAGCATCCCGCTATAGAGATATAACATCTTCCATGGAGAGTTCTAGTTATATGTCAAATATGACACGTTCTTGGCCTTCAGTTAGAGATTTTTGTAAGTTTTAGGAAATGATAAAATGTGTGCATTTTTTAAAAGTGTTGTTGTTATTTTTTTTTTAGCGGAAACTGAACATGTTATTACTATACCTACCTTTGTGATACGGGGAGCTGGTAAACAGACACATTATGAATATGAAATACGCATAATTTTGCCCGATGGTAAATTGAATATAATGCGTCGTTATAGCCGCTTTAGAGAGTTGCATATGAGTATGAAGAATACCTATGGAGCCAAGGTATTATATATATACTAATAGTGAGAATTTCTTTTCTTTAAAAATTTTATGTTTTCCTCTTAGATTGCCGCTTTACCCTTTCCACGACGTGAACTATTCTCCTCAAATAGTGAAACTGTAGCTAAGCATCGCAGGCGTTTGCTTGAATTATATTTGCGCAGGCTATTTGTAGTCTGCTCACGCATACCACAGAGTCCCATCTATGAAGGAGCCGGTGGTCCCGGCCTTACCAGAGCCTCTTTGGCTCAATTTTCGCCTTTCTTCAAGAAGGGCCTTTTCGAGAACGGCAGGCACGGGACGGGATAATAGTTACCCTACTGCTAAATTATCTCCTACCTACAGTGTGTCTTTTAATATATTTTTATTATTTATTAAGTTATATGTCACAATCATGATGATAAATGTTAAACAACTTTACCCCTCAAAGGCGTTCGTTCAACAGGAGTTTTCCCTAATCAAAATGTGAGTATTTGTTTATATATTATTTTAATTTACTTTAGTGTACAATAAATAATAATTAAATTAGCAAAGTTGCCTTATGGTTTCTTTAAACTTTTATTTTTCTAGCTAAAAAAAAAATTGTGTATGTATTTTGACAGGATGTTTTTTGATTGATTTATTAATTTATTTATAATTTAATTATTATTAATTTATTTTCAATTTATATTGTTATTTTAATAAAAATCTTCCATATTATAAGGAAGTTATCTATCTATCTATTACTTAATTAAATTTTTATTTGTGCTTTATTTATAACTTTTATGTTTGATAAACTATTTACTTATTAAATTGCAAATTGTATAATGTTTTCTTTAATGAAATACATTTTTTATTATTAAAAAAGTATACGAGTACAATTTATCTACAATTTACTTTTGCCTCTTACATGTTATTTAATTGTTGTTAGATTTAATTGAAAAACAAACAAAAACTGTTGATCAGTTTACAACTCAAAATATGAACAAATTTTGTTAACATTTGTTATTTATTCCTTCGTTATAACACGTTTTTTTAAATACTTTTCCCCTAAAAAGTTTATTTATGTTGTTTTCCTTAAGTTTTTGTGTTCGAAAGCCTTGTTTAAGTTTCCAGTTTTCTAATGTTTATTTAAAAATATATATACAAAATAATAAAACAGTTATAAGAATTAAAGCACAATAACGTAATACTTTCAAAATTTCTATATTTTTTCTAATAATTTTTCCAAAAGGATTTCAAAAAACTCTACAATTTGTTGAAAATTGTTTTAATTGTCCAATTCGCAACTGGTCTTGTATTTTGTATCGTTTATTAAAGTACAAAATTCCTATATCTGCCTGTAAACAGCCAATTGCATTTTTATATGTATTGTAAAAAAGAAAGAAAAAACATCATCAATATCTATAAAAATACACTTATATATAAAAAACTAAATTAATTATAGATCTACTTTATTAGCACTACACTCTTTTTAAATGTTTACTTTATGAAATTATTCTTCTTCTGTTTTATCTCCTTAAAAATTGGGCATTCACATGAAAATGATAGCTTGACATTGCAAACAAAATAAATAAACATATGAAAAACAGACATAAAGTTATACGATAATTTTTAATGGAAATTATCAACAACATTTTTACACAAATGTAAAATAATATAAAAATACATACCATACGTACATACAAGACGGTTGTGAATTGAGCAAATATTTTATTTTCTAATAATAGTAATAGTTTTTGTTAATTTTCATAAAAAATTATTATAAATCTTTAAATTTTTTTGTATTTTTTAAATTTTTTTATTAGTTTTTTTTCAACATTCCACATATCGTTTTAAAAATCATGTGCAATTTTAGTAAAAATCGAGAAAATTATGAAAAATTAATTGAGTTTTTGAGAACTTTTTTCGCAATATGAAAAGATCTTTAAAGACAATAAGTAAAAATTAATCAAAAAATTACAGGTTTTTTAAAAATGTTATATTAATTTACTAATTTCAAACATCTAACAGCTTTATTAAGTGTTTTCATAGATTAATATGATAATTAAGAGCTTAATTTCTATAAAGGGTATTCACTTATTTAAGCAAAACGTTTAAATTAGTAAGCATTAGTAAACTTTTGATACTGTCACATGCAACAGTTTCCTGTCGACTTCCAATCATTTAATTTTCCTTAAATAAACATAAAACTGTCTTTACTCATAATATAACCTAAAAATTGCTTCCGTTAAAGTTCTTCAAAAGTAATTAATAGGAATCATAAGAAAGAACAATCTTTATATGACATAATCTTGTTAAATTCATTGCTTTGATGCACTTCTTAAATGTTACTTTTTTTTCTAAAGCACTTCCATACTACGATCTGTTGTATATTGCTTCTTTGGAATTTTTTTCTGTGAATATTCTTATTATAGAAAAATTATTATTGAGAATAACATTTTAATATAGAAATCTTAGTAAATTAATGAACAAAAATACTTAAATCAAATACCTAAACAGAGATTGAAAATAACAGGTCCACTTATTGCCAATTTTCTTTTTTAACTCAAAAAAAATCCAAATTATGAGCATAAATGGTTAAGAAATGTTTAAAGTCCCTAAATACCCATAGTTTTGACAATATTTGCGAATAAAACTCATTCTTTTCCTAGACAGATTACATATCAAAAGAAAGGTCTTTTGATATAAAGATAGAATTACCGCAGATTTAGAACCTGAAGCTATCTGGGGTCTTCAGAAATTTGTTTTAAACAAACATGTCTTTTTAGATGTTTTATAACAGCTCTAACGAGTTTTAGTTTTGAAAAATGCTAAATTACATTAAGTTAGCTTTCTTATAAGTGGACCAGTTTGTTTTCCCACAATGGCTAACAATAAAATGATGATACTTTACGATTGTGAAATTTTTAAGACATTATTACCAACATAACAAATCTAACCACTAATAACCTCTATAGAAAAATCCCATACATATTTATAACTAAATCAAATTATATATAAATCTTAACTATATAAACTATATACTAAACTACCGATCTAAGGTTAATGTAACTCTCTATGTATTCCAATAGACTTAAATTAAATCTATCAAATAGTAGATAAATTACTAATGATTTATTAAGGTAGAAAAAAAACAGTTTTATTTATCAAGGAAAAGAGAGAAAATCTTTTAAAATTTCCAATTAAATTAAACTGTTTATATATTACCTTATGTAAACCTATAAATAAATTAAATTAATACATTAAAAAATAAACTCGTAACATTCAAAAAACATTTGACAATAGTAAAACACTTTTTATTTTTATTATAACATTGTACTACTAATATATTATTTAATAATTAGTTTAATATTCTTTATTAATTATTTTAAATATTTTAATTTAATTGTAAATAGCAACTATAGACCACTGAGCAAATAGGTAGGAAGAAAGTTTAGCAGTAGATGAAACTTTATTTTATATTAGTTTTTTTTGTTTTCCATAAACTTAAGTAATTTAAATTTGATATAAACATAGTTAGTTTATTGTTAATTTTATATATAAAACTGTTTATTTTTTTATAAATAACAATTACGATAAAAATTAGTAAAAATAGTTTAATTATATATAAATAAAACAAATAAACAAGTAGTATAGGAGTAATTATCAAATGTGATACACAAAATTACAATCCATTAAAACTAAACGAAAGCCAGTAATAAAATTAATTAAATAAAATGTTAATGTAATGTAATATAAACCATAAATACTAATGGAAGAAAGAAAGAAGAAAAAAACGTTACCAGGAAATTTGCTTGTTTTCCAGCTAACAAACAATAATAGCATAAAAATAAAAAAATTAATTAAATATAATTTAATATTTTTAATTTTAAAACAAGTATTACTTTTATTATTAAAAAATTGGTTTCAAAGGGTTTAGTTTATATACTATATACTAAGTTTAATATTAGCTTATAACTTTAATAAAAGGAATTGGTTTATATATACTTTTTTAAAATTTAAGCTTCAAACTAAATTAAGTACAATTTTGCCACTACCATTTTATATATTTATAATTTAATGAAAAAACAAAAATAAACAAAATTTTGTTACAAATTTCTAACTATAACTCGAAAAATATTTACTGTGCAATATATAATGAAATTACTAAATTTATCTAATTAAAGGAATGATAACTAAATTTAAACTGTAAAATTATCCTTGAAAACAATAATTTTTTTATAATAAATTCTCCCTCTCTATACACATTGTATAATAAAAAGTGTAAGAGTTTGTATGTCCTTAATAATATTTAAGTTTAAAAACAATTTAAACAATTATAATAAACTTAAATAAATTCTATTTAATTTTAAGTTGTTTTTACTAATAAAAAAAGAAAATAAAACATAACGTTTAATTTTTTGATAAAAATAAACTAAATTGAATGTGTTTGATTTATAATTATTTAAAAGTTAAGGCTTATATTAATTAATTAGAAAAAATTGTATGTGCTGATATTACTAATCAATGGATGAAAATTTGTTTTTACTTTTACATAGAAAAATGTCAAATTCTGTTAACAAAAAGTTGAGATATTTCTAAAAAAATGGGGCTGTTTTGCTAATACCTCCGTTATTTACGGGTCGATTTGGCTGATTTTGAATAGCAAACTTCTCTAAAACTTATCTGATGGAATTATTAAAGATTCGGGTCTTGAAATGTGAATATATAACTATTTGAGATAGTATATAATTACAATGAGAACTGGACTAGTATATATATAGCTTATAAATCGGATGAGAGATCGTTTTCAATTTCCACATAGCGGGAGTGTTCTACTTTGGATAAATCTGCCGCCACCCTGGGTGGCTTTTAAAGTTCCAAGATAAAAACTTAAACTTGATAACAATTTCTTTCTTGACATATACAATTTTTATTAAAATCGGTGCAAACGTTACACATTTATTTTCTATAATTCGCTTTAAGATCTTTGTGCTTAATAGAAGTGCTTCTCTTTGAGACAATATATTGGCCTTACTGAGAGGATTTATTGAGTTCAAGGTAAAACTCTAAACTCCACAACACCTCTAATATGTCTGCGCGAAATTATATGCCCCATCGATCAATTAATTAGCAATAGAAGCTTATTTTGCTAAAATATTTTCATATTTTGCATAAAAAATCTCATAATTTTACATTGTTTACATTTTGTTGTTTTGACACCTGTTGCCTTAACATAGTGCTGCCATACTTACAGCTTCAAAATGAAATCGTTAAATTGCCTTTAAATAAAAATTCCGTCATTTTACTTTTTCTGTTTCTTTTTTATTGTTTTATTACAATTTGCAACATTTGTGTGGTTTTATTTTAAATCGTTTTACAATAAATGTTAGATTTTTTATATGCAAGAATGAAATAATAATAAACTTAAACTGCATTGTTAATATTTTTTTTTGTTTAATGTTTAACATTTTTTGTTTAAAATATAAAATCTGTGGTTATTA